TGCGAGATTCTCGCGCTGTAGTGAAAACGCTGTATTATGCAAGAGCGTGGTTTTCACATTGTTCCTTTCAACGTTTTCACAATGCTTTTCGGCGTACCGTCAGTTTTTAGTGTATGAAAGTGGCAATCATTTTATACGTCTGATTAAATACTTGCGAGTCCGCATGTGCGTATACTGAGCTGGGTTTGGTGAGATTCTTGCCCTCTCATGTGCAAGTCTGCTTCGTTTTGCAAAATATTCATGATTCCAGGATTCAATTTTCACCCTCTGAAATCGAACTGAAAAATCTCTCTATCTTATTATGGTGGCAAATATAATCAAGAAAAGCATTCTCTGTCAGAAACTAGTTATTTTATCGTGATCATGTAAAGTCTTTGAAATTTTTTTTTCATTTTGTTAATGTTTATAGTACTTAAAAATATTTTTTAAGTGCTTAAGCACTCAAAAGGTGCTTATTTTTTGCTGAAAGATTTGGCTAAGTACCCTGTACTATTCATTTTGTATTTAAACATAACAAGCATTTTGTTTTATGTTTAAGTTTTTTTATATTTTTCACAGAATATTAAAACATTTATAAATCCTTTACTTTCATAAAAAATACAAATAACTTCCAGGAAAGTTAAAAAGATTTATTAATTTATAATTAAAAGAAATAATAAAATACATTAGTTTGTATAAGTGAGCAAAAAACCTACAGAACAGAGTGTATGGGATTTTTTGAAAAACTTGTTTCTCTATATTTACCCTTAAAAGTGAAAAACTTTATATTTCTATCAAAATTACTATAAGTCTGTTTTTTTACTTTGTTAATAGAAAAGTTTATTTAAATATAACCCCAGTTAGATTAAATTTCCTAATAATTTTTTCAATTTAATTTTGGAAACTTTGATATTTTTAATTAATTTAAATAATGTCATTATTTTATTAGGGTACTTTAATTAGAATATTTGATACTACCTCTGGAATGCTTGTAACTGAATTAAGAAGAGGTGCCAACCAAGCTAATATTTATTGGTGAGCTATTTTAATTTAATTTTTATATTTATGTATGGCAGAGTTATCCCTAGGGGAAAAAAAAAAGGGTAGTGGCAGGGCACTTCCTCACAAAAAAGGGCACTTAGAATTTTGAAAGGACGTCACTTAACACCGAAAAAATTATGAAATTGTGTTATATTATGTAATAACTGAATTTGATCCGTAATAGTTTGTAAATTACCCTTCTATTAAACTACTTTTTCATTTCTGACATCTCTGATTCTACATTTCAAGTTTCAGATTACTAAATTTATATAAAAAAATTTGTTTCAATTATTTTTTAAAAAGAATTACATTTTTTTATTGAAAATTTTAAAGTCAGGTTTTGAGTTATACTAATTTGTATAACTTCTACCTTGCTTAATGTTTATTTTCGAATCTTTTGCCTTTCCAAAGCAAGATTCAAAACTTAAATATGACACACACACAGTCTTTTAATTTTATTATATGTAAAAAGGATATTAAAAAACTTAGCGAAAAGTTCGAAAATTTAAAATATTATGTCTTAACTTTAATATACATTTTTTGCCTTGTGGTGGAATCACAGAAGAAATTGCTATATAAAAAAAAGTTATTTAAAAAAATGCATACTTGATGTTTTTTGAAATGCAAAAAAATGTAGTAATCTTTGCATTGTAGAGCATCTGAAATTTTCTGTTTGAAAAAAGCATTGTTATATGTGTTTATTGATTATTTTATATAATCAGTGATAATTTTTTTATTTATAAATGAAATGTGTTTTAATTCCTACTTTTCTTTCAGCATCAATTTTAATTTTGATTCTTCTCTTATTTGTGTGTCCAGTGATCATGGTACAGTTCATATTTTTGCAGTGGAGGACAGTAAAAGAAATAAACAATCCAGGTATTATATTCCCTTTTGAAATAAATGGTGAATTTTCTAAGTTCAAACCTATAAAATATATGTATTAGAAATGATTTTAAATTATGTAACAAAATATTGAACAAATATCATGCAATTTGCATAGATTGATGTAATGTATTTGAATCTGTAGTTTTGTTTAATTTTATGTTATGTATTTATTTATCTTTACTTTGTAATAAACAGAAAATTAATGTTTGCAAAATTAATTGAATACGAACTGTTAGATATCTGTTTTTGCATCGTGTATAGAAATGTTATATTTCTTGGTTAGCAAATGTTTAGATAGAATGTTAGAATAGTTCTATAGTTTGAAAATTAATGATATTTTAAGGTGTTTGTGTTAATACTGTTAAAACAAAAAAATTACCTATCGGACACAAGTTCAATGGAGAATCATTTCTCCATGTGAACACATGATGAATTAGGAAATGTTTCATTATTAAATAGTTAAAGTTTTCCATGGAATTTTTTAAAATTTTAATCATTTTGTATTTTTATTGCATTTGTAATTGCATTTGTATTTTTATTTTTTGTATTGTATTGCTATTGCAATTAAAAATTGAAAGCCATGCAGATATAGGCTTCAAAAAGTGAAAAGACTGTTCCCAGATCTTTAAGCTCCCATTAACAGTTTACTCTCGTTATTAATAGCTGAATAATTTATTCTCAGTTATAATTTTAATAGATTTTTTTATTTTAAAACTGCTATTGAACTTAGTTTATGTATTCAAAAAATTTAACTTTATTTCATACATATCATAATTATTAATGGTATGGAAAGAACTATAGTTTTTATTCTTTTTATTAGTATATCTAAAACATTCTTAATTTTGTGTTTTAAAATATTCAGTTTATTAATTATTCAGTTTATTAGATAAATTCGACTACATTATTCAGTTTATTAGACAATTTTCTACCAGTTTTACACTTTTCAAGTTTGCCTACTGTGACCTCGGGCCGAGATTTTATACCCTATGTTAAAAGATGAATGTTTCTTTGGACTGCACTTATACTAGTCCTGCCTTAGTTGTTCAGATACCACTAAAATATAATACCTCTGATTATTTCAGAGCCGTAAAAGCTCTTGTGCTGTTGGGAAATGTGATTTGAAGACCTGGGATTATCACCACCATCTGGCTTTTTGATCTAAATCGTGGTGTAGTATCTTGGAATCAATATTAAGGGTGAATCCCAGGCCATTGCCAATAACCCATTAATGTAGCCCTAGTTAGATATTAACAACCAAACACTTTTTCAATGTAAATTTTTTTTATTTTTTAAATCTTTAAAATTGTTCTCTTTTAAATTTTCAGTTTAGCATCTGCAACCTTCCTACCTAAATATTTTAGTTCTGTTTGGAGCTTCTCCCGTTTTCAAGTGCCTGGTGGGTCACATTGTATATGTGCTTTTGGCACAGAACCTAATTCAGTTATTGGTGAGTTCATTGGTAACTTCATTTTCTAAACATGTGTATTGTTAGTTTTCTCATTATCCTTCAATAATTATGGTGAGACTTTTGTTTCAATGTAATTTAATTTTAATATATTGAATTTACTAATCAATTAAATCACAGTGTTTGTAGTTGTCCTGACATTCCTCATAGGAAATATTTTGTCCTGATATTTCTAATTTTTGTATTTGTTCAAAATATCCCACTTATACAAATATGAATGCAGAATGCAAAATCATAATTTTACGTCATTAATTGATAGTTTATCTGCAGTTATTTATTATTTTTTTGGCTCCTTTAATATGGCTTTTCCATTTTCAATATGATATTATTATGACATTCGAATTTCTATTTTGAAATATCATTTTTTGACGCTTTCAGTTTGTGATCCAGCGTAATTTTACATGGTTTGACGCGTCTTTTTAGAAGTTATAAATTTTTTTAAAATTCTTTAGACGTGATTTTTCAAATTCAGGTGTTTTTAATCTGATGTTATTATGGCGTGTGAATTTCGATATCCTGTTATCGCTTTCTGACATGTTCGATTGGTTACAATTCAATCAATATCGCGATGTTTTCTGATATTTCTTTCAGCAGTCGACTCTTTTCTCATGGGTTTTCACATTCTGATCTTTTTAATGTGATTTTATTACTGCGTTCGAATTTGAGTTACCCTGCTTTGACGTGCTCTATTCATGATTAATTCCATCCTAACTTAACGTTAGATGATAAATTTTTTTATTTTAATTCAAAATTGTTTCGCTTTCTTCACAAAGTTTTTCAAACTTACATATTATTAACGCGCTATTACGAGTCACGAATTTCGTATTTGACTTCAGACTCGTTCGTTTCATGAAACTACTGTCAAATATCACGTCGTTTCCAATAGTTTTTTACGAGTATACGCCGTTGAACAATTTTGTGTTATTATTTTTATAATGTAAATTTTTCTAAAGAATACTGAAAGAAAACACAAATAATTAAATTCGAAAAGGATAAAACTTCTTTGGAAAAAAACGCGCTAAGAAGCAGCAGAAATTTCATAAAATAGTATCAATACAAGAAACGAATGAAATAAAATAAAAACATGACCACCGAAACCGACGTCTTCAGGGGGTACCGGCCTCAGTAGCCATTAAAAACAAAACCATTTCTAATTGAGGGAGAAGCAAATGCTTAAAATATCTCCCTCAGTACCCCGATGGTTTTGTATAGAGGTCCAGGAAAAACATACATTCAAAATAATTTACAAATTAAGAGAAGAATATCAATCAAAATCATCAGAAAAATAAAAACTCACTAAGTCACAGGTCAAGCATCAACTTCAAAAGCAAGTAGAGGAAAAGAAAACACTAAAAACTGAAAAACCAACACCCCCTATTATAATGCGCAGTAGAAGTTTAAAATGAAATGGAAAAGGTCAGGAGAAAGAAATACGTAGACAAATTAATAGAATGCTTAACTGGGGCTGCTCAGTTAAGACAAGAATTGCGCCCTGTTAAAAGAAAAAATATATAAAAACTTAAAAACCATCAATCATTTTTTTAATTAAAAAATTAACATTACAAAAATTAAAAGGAAAATCATTTTTACTCAAATTATTTAAAAAATTATCCACAGCTTC